ATGGTACAGCATGGCCTCTTTCTGGCAACATCAGCAGCTCACCTTGGCTATGGCGGCCATGCTGAACAAAACGACAGGAAACCGAACTACACCCGAGAGAACAGGGTACTCTAGGAGACAGGGTGTGCACAGATGTCAGACAGTGCCACTCTGATGGCACCCTATTCACAGTGAGCTGCCTTTTGATAAGTGAAGACATGCGCCAGTCATGACTGGTCACTATCCTTGTACTACAAGCTGTACACAATTGTATTGCTACAAGTGGCAGTGTGGTGGGTTTGTTTACACCAGCATCACCAAGAGCAGGTGGGTAGCTTTGTCCCACATTATCCCCAGGATACTGTGATGTCACCGGGAATAAGAACTGTGTGGCTCCATCATAACTTTATGTGACCACTATTACGTGTGCTCTACGCAATCATTGTAGACCATATGTCTAATCTGTATGTATAACTACATGTATCAAAGCCAGGCGTGGTGGTACACGCCTGCGATCCTAGGACTTAGGAGGAGAAGCGATGCCAGCCTAGACGAGACCTTGATGCAAAAAACAAAACAGGGGTGGAAAGATGATTCAGCTGCTCTTGCAGAGGAACTAGGTTCGATTCCCAGCACCCATATGGTAGTTCACAACCTTCTGTAACTCCAGTTTCAAGGAATCTGACACCTTTTTCTGACTTCCATGAATACTGCATTCCTTTGGTACACATACATACATGCAGGCAAAACACTCATACACAGATAAAAATAAATCCATATAGATTTTAAAGAAGAAAGAAAAAAACAAAACCTTGAAGCCAAGTCGACAAGCACAGCTGTTGTCCTAACTCAGGCCATCAGAGACAAAGGTCTAGAAATGAGGATTTGGCAAGTCGTCTTTCACCTGCTAGAAAGGGCAGGACTGGTAAGGGCAAAGCCACGCCAGCAGTGAGTGGTGGGGCTGGGATTCAAACCACTGTCTGGCTTTGGGGACATCTCCTATCCAAGTGCACACCAGGGCTAACCCAGCTTAGCTTCTTTGATCAAATGAGACTGGGCACTAAAGACGTACTCGGTGGGTAGAGTGCTTTCCCGGGATGCGTGCAGCCAGGGTTTGACTCCCAGCATCTCGTAAATGGCATGCCTGGAATCCCGAAGGAGGAAAGAATTTCAAAGTTATCCTCAGCTACACAGGGAGTTTGAGGCCCAACAAACAAACTCCTTCTCCAGAAATTTGTAGAAATAGCCCTTCCCACGTGACAGAGAATACACTGTGCTTTTTCTGAGGTTTTCTCCCCCGGCTCTTTCAAAGTGTAGAGTGAGGACGTACATAAATTAGATGTCCCCTTCAAACACTTCAAGTTCAGCTCAGGACAGTGAGCAAGGTCCAGGGAACAGAGCCTCATGGTGGCCAGGGACAGAGATAAGCAGCAAATGTCGACATTGTTTTTCAACTCATCCCTCTGTGTTCCAGAAATTAAACACACCACACTGTGCCAAGCCCCTTAAAGTCAGCTCCAACCTCTAACTCACCAGGGAGAAGTCCACAGTACTCTGCACCACGAGGTGCAAATGTCCACGGTGCATTATCCTACTGCCCCACATTTACAACAAATAATGGCCTGGACTTTGGTATCATGCTAAGGTTTGCTGTATTTTTTTATTAGTTGAGGAATAAATATGTATGTGCTTAATCACTCAAATTAATATTTGAAAGAGTTATGATGGCAGTGCATCAAGTCTTTCACTACTGGGCTTCCTCACTTAAGGTGGACTAAATCAGCAACAGTAGCATCATTTCACAGTAATCTCAGCCATGATGGACTCCATCCCTCCAGAACTGTATGCCAAAATAAAACTCTTCTCCTTTAAGGGGTGTTTTATCATAGTGGCAAGAATGTAACTTAAGACGGCAGGATAGTATCAGCTAATAGACAACTTCGATGTGCACTACTGCTTTAAAATTGTCAAATTGTGGGGACATATGAAGTGTGAATCTAATTAATCTTAATCATAAGCACCAGGAGTCAGATATTGAGAGTGAAAGCTGAAAGATCAGAGAAGCAGAGCAGTCAGCGACCTGAGAGTTCTCACCTTTTCAAAATCTCAGCCTGGAGTCCACCTTCCTCTTCCCTCCTCTCCCTTTACAGAAATGGCCAGGGCACACTGCCCAGTGAAGACAGAATGCAGGAGGCGCCCTCTCCACCCACAAGAACACCATGTACCGCAGGGTCAGGGGGCCACCCGGCGCCTAAGGACCCTGCTTCCTCGCTTACCAGGCTGGACCCCAGAACCAGCTTTCTCCTCAGACGCTACCATTCCCACCCAGGCCCCACTCCACTCCACCCACTTCTTCTTCATTTCTTCTCTGGTCTCTCACACCCCCACATCCTCCCACGCACCCTCTTCCTCAGGCTCTCCCACCACCTGTCTCTCAGGTCCAGGCTCTCAACTCATTGTGGGTGGCTCTTCCTCTGGGAAATGGGGAAGGGGAACCAGGAACTGAGTTGCACAATGGTTGTCTGGATGGGCTCAGGAGCCTTTTTGAGGGACCCCCTTTCCCCTATCCTGGGGCTTTGATAACTTTCAAAGCTCCTGGAGCTTCCCACCCTTCCCCTGCCACCCCCTCAAGAGATCAGACTGTCAGGTATGAGAAACTGAGACAAGAGCTTCCTACCCTCTTCCTTCGCTCCCATGACTACTCTGTATTCAATGGATGTGGAATTCATCAATGAGATCCTGAACATCCGTACCAAGGGCCGGACATGGTACACTATGTCCCTGACCCTTTGCCGCTTCCTGGCTTGGAACTATTTTGCAGTTTCGGTTGGAGGTTCTACAGCTGACCCACCACCCTGAGAACTGGACCCTGCAAGCCCGCGGGTGCCTAGTAGGTCTGCCCACACATATGCTCTTCCTGAGTTTCTACAGGCATGACAAGGAGGAGCTTTACGGACCTCTGATGCCTGTTCCACCTTCTACCTGAATTCCAGTGGCCTCATTTGTTGCCATCACCTGGACAAGCTGACGCCTTCACATTCACTTTCGACGTCTGTGAAAAAGCCGCTAGTGGAAAGCTCTGGTGGCCCTGGGGCTGACAGAACCAGAGCCCAGCTTACACGTGTGTTCCAAGGCCTGATCCAAACTTGGGTGAAGGCATCACTGAGGATTTTGCTCCGCACAGAGGAGGTAAAGGTGAACAAGAATGTCCAGAGCCGGCCACCTCCCCTCCCTCTCCTTCCTTCTTCCCATCCCATGCTATGGAAAGCTGCTGTGTAATTTAATTCGTAAATAATAAAGTTTAAGCAACAAGGGAAAACAAAAACAAAAACCTCAGCCCAAAAGGGTGCTGTCCTGTCTCCACGAATCTCAGACTGAAGGAGCAGAACCCTGTCTCTACCCACCTTCTATTCCTGCCTCCACCTCCCTAGTGCTGGGATTAAAGGCATGTGCCACCACCCGCCTGGCTCTGTTTCTCTTTTAGATTGATTCAATCTTGTGTAGCCCAGGGTGGCCTTGAACTCCTGATCTTCCTGCTTCTTCCTCCCCCCAGGTGCTGAGATTAAAGGTGTGTGCCACCACTGCCTGACCTCTATGGTTAACTAGTGGCTAGCTCCATCCTTTGATCTCCAGGCAAGCTTTATTTGTCAGAACACAAACAAAATATCACACAACAGACAGGCTTATGTTGGCTCTACGCAAAGGTTTACCCTAATGAACCATGGAGACCAAAAACTAAGGGCACGTTCTACACACACAAGAGGAAGCACAGCCACCCACAGGAGCAGAGAGCTGAGGTGCTCAAGAGCCTCTCTGGGTGCTAACCGCCCGGGTCTCTACAGTGACGTCCTCACCCCAGTTCCACAGAATCAAGCCTTGGGTGGTAACGTCAGCGATACCCCTCATCCGCTGGACATTTGGGGAACCTGTCTAAGCCTGTTTCCTTATATAAAGGGAATAATACTGCAGACTTCACAGGGTTGAGGGAGGGCCCAATATGAAGTCATTAATCAGTTCAGGGCCTCGCACCCAATTCATGATCCTTGTCCTTGTTACTTCCGGTACTCAGAACGCTTAGCCCACTCCTCCCCATGCTCAGAACAACCGCTGAAGCTTCTCATGACCAAGCAGCGTCCAGCCGTGTGGAGGCTGTGTTCACCGGCTTCTGATGCAATTGTCCCTTTAAGGCTGCAGTGAAGGAAGAGGGTGGAATTTCCCGCTGTTAGTCACTGGGGAAGGCACAGAAGACTGAGACCACAGCAAGGGCTGCCCCAGGGTACTGTCCGTGGGTGCAGCTCCTGTACCTCCATAGCCTGGGCTACGGGTAGATAGAGCAGTCTTGGCTGTGAGCTGGAGTTTGGTGAGCTCTAGAGCCTAAGCATGAGAATGTGAACAGCGACCCCTGGAGGCCGGGAGGCCATTAGCAGCCATAGAAACCATAGAGAATTGGAATCTTCCCACCACCAGCCTTGGGGGATCTGGGTCATTGCAGGGACTTCAGATTCACCAGCTCTGACGGCAGCACATCTGAAGCATGACTCTATTTAGTCTTATCAATAAAAACCAGGAGTCAAATATTGAGGTAATAACCTGAAAGATCAGAGAAGCAGAGCAGCCACCAGTGACTTCTTACTTCCCTGGATCCTCTGACCAAATGGGGGCCAAGATTCTGTCTCTCCCCACCCCTACCTTATATTCCTGTCTCCACCTCCCAAGTGCTGGGATCAAAGGCATGTGCTACCATTGCCTGGCATGCCACTTCCCAAATTACCACCCAGAGGCTTACATTAATTATAAATGCTCGGCCAGTAGCTCAGGCTTATTACTGACTAGCTCTTACACTTAAATTAACCCATAATTCTTATCTATGTCTAGCCACGTGACTTGGTACCTTTTCACAGTACAGCATTCTCATCTTGCTTCCTCTGTGTCTGGCTACTGGGTATTCGGGAGTTTTGGGCTGGACAGAAACTTCTGTCTACACACATCTAAGTTTGATATCTGTGTCAGTGGCCACTTACCTCCTCAAAAGCCTCGCAGCCTGACACCACGATGTTTGGCCTGAAATATTCCATCTTCACTTTCTTCTTCAGTCTGGTGTTGAGATCGACTAAGGAGGCTTCAGAAATCATGTGGATAGGGCTGCAGTCTGGGTAGGCTACCTGTTACAGGACACAGTACAGTCAGGCCTCCCCACCCACTGGCATTGCTCTCCAAAGCTCAGCAGAGCCCAGATGGAAAACCTCTCAAGTGCGGAAGGGGAGAGCTATATTCAAGAACAAGGTGGAGTTGTACTTGTAGACAGGATGTGAGCACTGAAACATGGCTTCTAGACACACACCGGACAAGGCTTGGGCTGGCTCTTGCTATTCCATTAAATTATTTATGTATTTATTTGAGACAGGGACTAGGTATCCCTGGATGTCCTGGAACTTATTAGGTTGACCAGGCTGTGCTTGAACTCAGCCAGCCACTTGCCTCTACCTCAGGAATGACAGGATTAAAGGTGTGCACCACTACACCAGTGGGCTGGTATTCGCCAGCCTGCTCTACTGCCTCATCACACGGGGGGTTGTCTACTGCCAATATAGTACATTCTAGCAATAATTTCATCAACACCAGCCATTCACTCAAAACCTACTGATCACTGGTAGATACCTGACATTGTGTTAGGTGAGGAACAATAGTAACAAAGCAAATAAATAATAATATCACCAATAATATTAATAACAAAAAAAAAACCTGCCTTGGCTTTGGAGGGGAATCCCTGGGGTACTTGCATCTGAAACCATAGCTCACTATAGTTTTTCCCTGGCAGGAACTGCCTTCCCGGCCTATGAAATAGTTGTCACGCACACAGGCAGGAAAGGTGGCCTGGACAAAGTCTGTATCAGGAAAGGCACATTTAGTCCCAGCACTGCACTCTCCCTGGCAGCCAGGCCTCTTCTCTCTCTTCCCTTTCTGGGACACAGTCGAACCTTTAGCCCAGGCTGGCCTTGAATTCACAGCAATCCTCCTGTCTTAGCCTCCTGAGTGCTGGGATTACAGGCATGAGCTACCACACTCAGCTTCCAGCCAGTTTCCTCCAGAAACTGTCCCTATCTCCCCAGAAGTCGCCCTGGCTCCTCCCTCCACGCATCTCCCATACATAACCCTCTATATACCTCGGATGTCCCAGCACTGAGCCCTCATCACACGTCCCTCATCATCCTTAATGTGTAGGCTGTACCCTGAAACACCCCACGAACCACTGTCAGGGTTTTCTAACTGAAGTCTCAGAGGGGCTCTTACGGACAGGGAAGGAGCGCAGAGGCCCAGAGTAAGCAGCAGAATGAAGACTGAAGGCTCACCTCATATTTCTGAAGGTAATCTTCCGAAGGGTAAAGCTTCTTTGTTGTCCTCCCATTCATGCTAGTATCAAACTGAACCAGCCTGTAGGGTTCTGTCTTCAGGTAGTTGGTGAACCACTGCGCTACCTCATCGCCGCAATCTCTGCCTTTAATGTCAAGACCAAATAGCCTGGAAGGGTTGTTAAAGAACACCAGATTACTGTGTGGACACACTGAGTGATGGTGGCCTGAATATACCAGAAGGCTGCGAAGAGGTCTTTAGAGAGGAGCCAGGAAAGAGCAGAAAAGGGTCCAGAATATGCTCTGGGGAAGAGCTCCCCAGCTCACGTGTCTGCGAATCACCTAGACACATGTTCAGATGCAGACTCTGGTCCAGTGGGTTGGGGTTGGGGTTGGGGTTAGCATTTAGGCATCTGTACTGGCCTGCCCTTAGGGTCCTGACAGGGTATACCTCAGCTGCGGCCACTAAGAGCACCCCCTGGGTGCATTCGCTAAGTTCCCTTATAAAAGGCGGGCCTTGTACACTTCCTGTCTCTTTCTCTCCCTTCGCTCTCATCCCCAGGGACCGGTCTCTGGCCCCTTCTCTGTCCCTTCTCTCCCCTCCCCTCAATAAAGCCCCCATGTGGGCCCTGTTGTATGGGCTGACTCCTTCACATCATTTTTAAAATACAGCAGTTGGAATCTGGAACTTTGCATTACTGACATGCTTTCAGCCATCTAAGTGGCTAGGTCCATGGACCATTACGAATACCAAGGATTCAGGTTTCTTTCAGAAGAGGAGGTGTTGCTTGAGGCAGGTACACCTTTGGCTGGAAATTCTCAGAACTGGTTCAGATTGGAATCAGTCATTCCCTTGGTCTGTTGGCCTTTAATAAACTCAACATTTCTGCCTCTCCTCTGTCTCCCACTATAAACTGGAGATAAACACATTCTACCTATGTGCTGGGAGACGGGCGGGCATGGATGTCGGACAACACCGTGACCTCTGCTGTGCTCTTGGTTTGGTTTAAATTGACTTCTCTACGTTAGTTGTTAAAATTGTGTGTCCAGAGCGTATAGATTAATATGTAAATATTTCAATTTAACTTGTGAAACACATAACTTCCTTGAATTACAAACACTGACATTTAAAATGAGAGTGTATTTGATTTTTTCCAGTGATTTCTGAATACTATCAGTTAGATATCTACCATTATCCATTTTTAAAGTACACAAATAAGATTTTCTCTAAACAGACCAACTATTGTTGTTATTGTTTCTGTCTTTGAAACGTGGTCACTGGTAGTCCAGGCTGGCCTTGAACTTGCTATGTAGTAGAGGCTACCCTTGAATCTCCTACCTCTCACAGTGCTGTTTCACCCTGCCTGATAAATGGTCCAAAGTTTTAGATAGTTCATCTCTTTATTCTGGAACACATATGTACATTCAACTTTTTTCACATAATTTCATACTGATATATGGCTACTGATCTCTTAAAATATTTCATTTGAACCAATAAAATTTTGGTTCTTAAGGATCCATATGTGAAAGAATTTGGGAAAAATTAAATTATCTTTACAATTTTGATAATAAAATGGGTATGTTGTGAATTTTGAAGGTCTCCAAATATAAAGAGCAGATTTCAGCTGAAATTAACTTATTAATGAGCCCTAACAATAGCCATGAATCTGACTGAATTCTAGACAAGGTTTAGTATCAATTTATTTCTCCCCCGACCACCCACTTAAGCAAGGTCTCACAATGTAGCCAAGTGGTGAGGATTTCACAATGTTGCCCAACTTGACTCCAAATTCACAATCCTCCTGCTAACGGCTCCCTAGTGAATCACCAGGCATGGTTCCTTCCTTTCTTTCTTTAACAGCCCTGAGAATGAGGGGCTGGGAATGATGGTATACACCTCTAATTCCAGAATTCCAAAGGCTGAGGCAGGAGGATATTGAGTCCAAGGATAGCCTGAACTACATAGCAAAACCCTATTCACTGCTATTTTGAAGAAAAGGGGTTGAGATAGGTCTCACTATGTAGCCTTGGCTGGCCCGGAATGTGCTATGCAGACCAAGGTGGTCTCAAACTCACAGAGATCCACCTGCCTTTCCCTCATTAAAGGCATGTGCCACCACACCCAGCTACTTTTTAAATTTAATACCTATTTGTTTATTTTATATTTGTTTTAAGAAAAATATGGAACATTTAGCAAATTTGTGTGTCATCCTTGCACAGGGCCAGCTAATCGACTCTGTATCATTCCAGTTTCAGTATATTGCTGCCAAAGGAAACACAACCAAGTTCTGTTAAAAAAATAAATAAATAAAACAAAGAAATGAGGTCTGGCTAGCTCAGTGGTAGAGCACTTACTTAGCATATACAAGGCCCTAGGGGGCTGGAGAGATGGCTCAGTGGCTAAGAGCACTGGCTGCTCTTCCAGAGGTCCTGAGTTCAATTCCCAGCACCCACATGATGACTCACAACTGTCTATAATGGATCTGACACCCTCTTCTGTAATGCAGGCACACCAGGCCCTGGGTTCCATTCCCAGCACTACACTGGGCAAGGGGGGGAGTTTGAAAGAAAACGGCCCCCAAAGGGAGTGGCACTATTAGGAGGTGTGGTCTTGTTGAAGTAAATGTGGCCTTGTTGGAAGAAGTGTGTCACTGTGGGGGTGGGCTTTGAGGTCTCTTACGCACAAGCTTCACTCAATGTGATAGTCAGACACTCCCTGCTGCCTTCTGATCAAGATGTAGCCAGCACCATGTCTGCCTGCACACTGCCATGCTCCCCGCCATGATGATAATGGACTGAACCTCTGAGACTGTAAGTGAGCCACCCCAATGTTTTAAATGTCTTCCTTATAAGAGTTGCTGTGGACATGGTGTCTCTTCACAGCAATAGAAATCCTAAGATGGAGGGTGGGGGCAGGGGAGATGCTCTGTGCAAACTATGGATTTAAGGATCTGGAAACTGATTTCTTGAAGTTTCCCCTGCCCCTCCCCCAACACCATAAGAAGTACACACACACACACACACACACACACACACACACAGAGCCTGTGCCAGTGTGAGGATCCCTGAGGTCATGTGTGCAAAGGAGTTCAATAGAAATACCCAGAATACTCATTAATAGTTGAACATCTGAGCTCTTGAAGGCTCAAAATCCTCCACCTCCCAGAGCTGGCATTATAAGCATTACCACCACACCCCCTGGTGTCAAATCTTGACACCCCTCTGTTAAGGCTTCTAGGGCCCCCTCCTCCTATCGGAAACCCTTCTTGGAGCATTGTTTGGATCTGTGGATCCTTCCTGGTCCTTCTTCAGCCGTTCTCCTGAAACTGCAATCAACCACTCAACTACTCAAAACAGATCCTAGCCACTGCTGAGCAGCACCAAGGGTGCCCTGCAGCTCCTCCAGAACACCACCCACATGAAACTGCACACACTTCTACCACTTACCATCCACCCACCACATATAGGAGATTGGTACTGGCCCTTGGAAAAGTAGAAAGCACCCAACAGGGCAAGAAGATGCCAATCAAACTGTGTCCTTCCAACTGATAGCAGGCATTCCTCTACCAGGCCTGCGCCCGCTGCAAGTAAATAGATGGATGGATGGATGGATGGATGGATGGATGGATGGATGGATGGGTGGTTGGGTGGATGGATGGATAGATGGGTGGATGAATGAATAATTTTAAAAAATCTATGTGGTAAGAACCCCAAGCCTACCCAATGGACCCCACTCTGAGGGGTACAAATCAGCACATTCATTTGAGAAAAGAGTTTGGCATTTCTAGTGCCTCCTGTTTTGTATAGATCTACAATCTAAGCACGGGGGAGGCAGAGGCAGGAAGTTTAAGAGTTTGGGTCAGCCCGGGCTACAGAGAGAATCCTCTTGACCTCCATGCTTTACACATGTGCTCTCAGAAGACACACATAAGAATGTTCGTAAGAGGGCTGGAGATGACTCAGTGGTTAAGAGGGCTTGGGGCTCTTCTGGAGGACTGTCACCATGGCCTGAAGCTCCAGCTCCAGGTGATCTGACACCTATGTTCTCTGAGGGCACCAGCACCAACTCACACACAGATACACACAGACACATCATCAAAACTAATGAACATAAACCTTAAAGACTACTCATAGAATATTGTTCATAGTATAGAAAAAAAAAACAATGTTTATGAGGATGAACAAAACAATAACAAACAGGTTGCCACAGACTCACACAGTGGAAGCCACACTGTGTTGGGAAAACATGGCCGAAGGTAAGAAGCTGAAGGACAATTGTGTTACAAGGGTGACTGATGGCTGGGGTCTCCCAAGCTGCCTGAGGCCAGGGGAGCCAACCTCAAGATCGGAGTGCTGGACTTCGGTACCACAGCCCCTGATCTCCAAGGAAGGGGCAGAGGCTGAAGGTTGAGTCGGTCAGTGGCTGATATTTTATCAAGTACACTATGTAACAAAGTTTCCATAAAAGCTCAAAGGAGTAGGTTCAGAGAGTTTCCTAACTGCTGAACACCTAGAGGTGTGTCAAGGGAGGCATACCCAGCAAGCACACAGGAGTTCAGTGCTGTGGAATAATCCTTTTCTACACTATGAATATGTATTACTCTCATTGTTTCACAAAAAGCTGACAAGCTGGTAGCTGGGCAGGAGTTAGGTGGGAAAGTCTAACAGAGAATGATAGGAAAGAGGTCAGAGTCAGAGGAGTCACCAGTCAGGAGCAGAGGGAGCAGGAGATGAACATGCCATGTTAATAAAGGTACCACCACGTAGAAAAGCATAAATAGAAATATGCGTTAACTTAAAATGTAAGAGCTGGTTAGTAATAAGCCTGAGCTATTGGCTGAGCATTTGTAATTCATATTCAGCCTCTGAGTGGTTATTTGGAACCTGGCGGTCAGAACAGGAACTGTCCATTTACAGTTCAGTTCCCTACATGTCCCATTGATCTCATCCTTAGCCTTTAGAACATCCTCTTTAAGTACCCGGCAAACATGATTCCCAATTTCTAAGAGGCACTCTAGCAAATTAACAGAACCTAAGGAGGAGGTGGTAAGTCAGAATCATGTTGCCACCCTCACTGGCATTTGAAGCCAGGGATAGTCCTATGGGACCACGTCTTTAGTCTATGAGAGCTGATGCTGGCTCCAGGCAGATGGAGTCAGGACCGGGCTGGAAGAGGTTTGCTCATTGAGGACCCAGAGGTGACACACTCTGTGGTAAGGAATGAAAAGCATGCCTCTTGCCTTCCTTGGTGGTTGGAATGAGAATAGCGTCCACAGGCTCATATGTTTGGTTACATGATCCCCAGTTGGTGGGAGAGTTTGGGAAGAGTTACTTAGTGTATCTTTGTTGGAAGAGATGTATCACTGGGGGTGTAGGCTCTGAGGTGTCGAAAGCCGGCACCGTTCTTCCTTAGCTCATCTCTCCCACTCCCCCACCTCTCTCTCTGCCTCCTACCTGCTGAGAAGGACGCAAACTCTCAGCTACTGCTCCAGCACCATGCCTGCCTGCTGCCATGCTCCCCGCCATGGTGGACTTACTCCACGAAACTGTACCCCAATTAAACACTTTCGTTTCCACGATGCTTCGGTCATGATGTCTCCTCCTCACCACAGAAAAACAACTAAGACATCACCCCATCACACCCACTTTTCGATTTCTCTCCTCAGTTACAGAGAAATCAAACTTCAGTTGGACTTTACAAGGTTGAAGCCACTGTTTTCTTTTCTATTTTTGACTTATAGGGGAAAAAATCGCTATGGTTAACAAGACAGACAACTGCCACTTCTGTACCTAATTATACCTACGTATACATATATGTCAAATTACATGTAAGAATCAAATGTTACTTAGCTAGTCTTTTTTTAAAAATCTTTTTAAATTTTATTTATTTATTTATGTTTATACCTTAGCTAGTCTCTAAAGCTAGACCTCAAAGGCTTTTTGTTAGACCAAAGATAATTTCTTCCTTCCTCTTCCATTAAAACCTAAGCATGGGACTGGCAAGGTGACTCAGATGGTAACGATGTTTGCCACCATGCCTGAAAACCTGAGTTCAATTCCCGGGCCCCTCGTGATAGAGAAACCAACTCCCTCAAGAACTGATTGCCAGGGGACCCTGCTCCAAGATTGGAGGTCTGGACTTTAGCGTCACCCCGACTTCCCCCACCCCTGACCTCTGAGGGGGTAGAGGCTGAAGACTGAGTTGATCAATGGCTAATTATTTTTATCAATCACACCTATGTAATAAAAGCCCAAGGGGCTGAGTTCAAAGAGCTTCCCGATTGCTTAGCACATGGTGTTAGAGCTCACTGTGAAGCTGGTTCTGGAAGGGGGTTGGGCCTCCTCGCCCATTCCAGACCAAAGCATGTGTGTCTCAAAGTGCCCTGCAAGGCCCACTGTCCAGGGACAGGCTGCCCCCTTCCTCTATGGCAGTGAGGATAAAACAGCCTGAGAGAGAAAACCCTGTGCCCTCGAAACAGCTTACGGTAAACCAGCCAGAGATGCACAGTAAGACTGTCTCAAAAAAGAGAAAGAAAGAAGAGAGAAAAGAAAAGCTTGGCTGAGGGCTGAGTGCACAGCTCAAGGGTAGAGCACCCACTTAGTATGCACAAAACCCCGGTTCTAAGCCCAGCACTCAGCTGGTTACCAAGGGATCTACAACATTGCATCATCCCACAGCAAACACCTGTTTCTGTGATTTCCCAACATCAAAGAGCAAGGCCTCCCCAGCTTTAATCCTCAGTAGCGCGCGCGCGCTGCGCGCGCGCGCGCGCGCACACACACACACACACACACACACACACACAAAGAAATTTGGGCAAGACCCAGCAGGCCATGGGTCATCTAGAGAGGATGCCAAGACCTGAGGCCTCGCCCCTGCCCACACACATACCCCTGCTCTAAGTCCTCAATCTCAGTAGCACACTTCAGGGTCTGGAAAGTTCCAACGTGCTTGTTATCTATCCAGCTCTGAGATCAATTGGTAAAGTCTCCAGTAACTTCTCTTGTCTGAATGGCCGGCTAAGAACTCTAAACAGTGTCTCTCCAAGGGCCAGGGAGCTGGTTCAATGGGTAAGGGACTTGCTGTCAAACCTGAAGACCTGGGTTTGATCCCCAGAACCCACATGGCAGAAGAAGAGAAGTGACTCTTGTAAGTGTCCTCTGACTGCCACATATGTGCTATTACATGTGAACCTAGACACACACACACACACACACACACACACACACACACACACACACACACTGTTGCATATGTGCACATTATTAAATAAACTACACTTGGGTCAACTACACTTTCTGCTTCGCTATCTTGAAGGCCTCGGAGAAGGGACAGCCACAGCTAGAGACATATTCCTAGGGACAACAGTCTTGTTACATGCACGTATGACTTGCAAACCCTCCTTTATGGAGTCCTTACCTACAAGGAACATGTCAGGACTATAAGCCACACAGCTGCTATGTGTGGGACACCCCCACCGCCACGCTGAAGTTACTCTAACCTGAACCCTGCTTATAATCCCTTGCTTTTTCTCTCTTCCCTGCAGAAGCCCAAGCAAAGGCTCTGGGCTGCGGTTTCCCCTTCCTTGACTTACCTCTGGCCAGTGCCACCCCCACCCCCCTGCCCCACCCCCCACTCCCCAGGCTTCCCTGTGTTAGCTCTACCTACTTCCAGGAACCCATCGATGTCATGATAGTTTTTCCTGGATGACAGTCATTTCATCATCTGCAACTCTCACTGTCCCTGCTTAAAACTAATTCCGAGGTGGAGGCCGTGGCTCTCGCTTGGTACAGTGAATGCCTAGCACGCCCAAAGCCTAGGGTTCGATCCTCAGCACCACACAAACTGAGCATGGTGGTGCAGACCTGTCATCTCAGCATTCAGGAGGTAAAGGCCTAATGGTCAAAAGTTCAAAGTCACTCTTGGTTATACAGCAAATTGGAGGTCAACCTGGGATGTCAGCCCCCCATCTCCAAACCCTAAATAAATAAATAAATAAATAAATAAATAAATAAATAAATAAATAAAAGCCCTGGGTACCTTTAACAGTCGCTCCTACTTGAGCCCTACCTTATAGACTAACCCCTCTTCAGTATTGTCCTGCACCAACTCCCTCATCTACAGTTCTGACATAAACTATAACAATGCAAGGAAGACTCAGGTCTGTTGCAGCCTCCCCACTGCCCCCAAGCAGAGCACCTGCAGTCGTGGATCTTATTCGAAGAAGGTAGCTTGATAGGCAAAACCATCTGGTCCATGCCTGGAGCTTCGAGGGTCAGAAAATTGTTCTCCAAGGTGATGGAGACCAGCACAAGGCGAGGCTCCTGGCGGGCAGTGACCATGTGTCCATCTTCCTTAACCACCATCCAAAACCTGCAGAGAGGCAGACAGGTGTACATTCAGAAAGTTTTCCCCGATCCTCAAGAACTTCCTTTAGCTCTCCATCACCTCAGAACTATCGATCCACCCTGGTGTGAGAGCCGATGGCAGATTGTGCAGGTCTGGACAGATCCTTTTGGTCCAAAAGTGGCTGGCCCCAAAAGGAGCTCCCTCTGGCACTCGTGCGACGCCCTTTGCCACCTTAAGATGCAGCAAGAAGCCCTCACCAGACGCCAGTGTGTGTTCCTAGACTTCCTAGACACAGTAACGCCCAGCATGCCCCAGCCCCAGACACGTCATCACTGGCCATCAATCCTTCTCCAGGCTGAATCTTCTCAGCTCCCATCCACCCAAAATAGCCCCTCTCACAGTTGATGCCCCTTCTGCTTTAGCCCAGGTCACTCTGTAATGACTTGGGAACTAAATACTGATGTTAGAAGCGGGAGGGGATGCTCAGTGGCCCCCTGCTAATTGCTGTGACTGAAAAGGCAAAAGGCCACTGCAAGAGAATCCAGCCTTGGGACTGCACAAAACAGATAAAAGGTTAAAAGGCTAACGTAATGGTTGATAGCAACTGTCAACTTGACAGGATCTTGAAACACCTCTGGGCCTTCCTGAGGAACTGTCTAAATTAACTGAGGTGCAAAGACTCACCCTAAACATGGATGGCATCATACCATGGGCTGGGCTTCCAGACTGAGTAAAAGGATAAAGCCAGCTGAACACTGGCTTCTCTGCCTCCTGACTGTGGAGGCAGCTTGAGCAGCTGCCTCCCCATCCTGCTCCAAACCTTCTTTCCTTAAGTTGCTTCTTGTCTCAACAACAAGAACAATTAACTAAGACAGCTGCAACACATAACAAACCTCAATCACCTCGTTACCCTGCCAACCTTCAGGATACTTTTTTTTTTAATCTTGTTCACATAAATAATTCCCGTAAACAAATGATCTGCTGTGCTCTGCCAAGGCTGAGAGAAAGGATGAGACTAGGTTGTTTCATAATCAAGTTACCCCAACTTGACCTGCAGTAAGAGTCAGCACCCTGATTTTAGAGTAAAGCACAAGCAGGGGGCAGCTGGACCAGTGTCACGGCCCAGAGCTCAGAATCCCCACAGGAAACAGGGCCTTGAATGACCAATGTAACGGTGAAGCTGAACCCAGGGCAAACGAAAAATATCATTCAAGTTAAACACCAGCCAGCAGGGCTGGGGTGGAGGGGGGTAGGAGCAAGATGGACTAAGCCTGAAAGAGGAGATGGGAGAGGAAAGATGGAGGTGAGAACGGGAATAAACACGGGGGGGGGGGGGGGGGGGGGGGGGGGGGGGTTTGCTGTGGGATGGTCTGTATGTCAAATTGCTCTGATTGGTCAATAAATAAAACACTGATTGGCCAGTGGCCAGGCAGGAAGTATAGGCGGGACTAACAGAGAGGAGAAAAGAAAGAACAGGAAGGCAGAGAGAGACTGCCAGCCGCCTGCCATGACAAGCAGCATGTGAAGATGCTGGTAAGCCACGAGCCACGTGGCAAGGTATAGATTTATAGAAATGGATTAATTTAAGCTATAAGAACAGTTAGCAAGAAGCCTGCCACAGCCATACAGTTTGTAAGCAATATAAGTCTCTGTGTTTACTTGGTTGGGTCTGAGCAGCTGTGGGACTGGCGGGTTACAGAGATTTGTCCTGACTGTGGGCCAGGCAGGAAAACTCTAACTACGGGGGGGAGGGGTGGGGGGGGTGTCCCCTTTATCAATAAATGATAAATTTGTGCAGAAGAATAGACAGCCAGCCGCAAGGAAGGGTCTGGGCAGAGAAGGTGACTGAGTCATGGCTGGCTGCTTAAGGACATTTACAAGGTCAAGGAATGAAGCTACTCCCGAAGCAGAGAGCCTATGTTAGCAACTTCCGGGAGGACCTTGACCTCACAGCTCAGGGAGCTGGCACAAGGTTCAGCCCAAATGGGCCAAAAACACTAGCAAAAACCTTCAGTAGTTGGAAGCACCGGGCAGTACAGAGGAAAATCCAGACACAAATTAAACAAAGAGGCTCTTTCCCTGCCCTCCAGAAATACCAATGGTTGTGCTGCTCTCGGGGAGGAAAACACCAGTCATTAAGCAGCGTTCTGGCTGGCAAGCCTGCTTCTGAATAGTAATCACGCTTTGATAAATAAAGCTCAAGTTCATTTTTTTTTTCAAACAAAACTGAGGCTCGGAGAGGTTAAATGCCTTTGTTCAAGGTCTCCTGCACTTCTCACATTCCTGTATCACACACTAGTTTTTTCATAGAAAAGAGTGAATGCTGTAGTCTGAATTCAAAACCCGCAGAACAGGCTGGGTTTGTGATCCCAGCTGACATACTCATCCTGTCTAATACTGACTTCTTAGGTCCGAGGGATGGAGACATTCATATCTAGCCCACAAAACCAACCTTAGACGGGCTAACTTACAGGACAGGATTTAGCCCAGTGCCAATCATATATTCATTTCACTGACTTTTCCTCCACTCCAGACCACATCATCTTGAGAATGTATTGCTCGTGCTGGGCATGGTGATGAGAACCTGTAATCCCAGCACTTAGGAAGCAGAGGCAGGTGCATCCCTGTGAGTTCAAGGACAACCTTGTCTATACAGCAAGTTCAGGCCAGCCACAGCTACATAGTGAGGTCCTCTGGAAGAAAAAAAGAAAGAGAGGGAGGGAGAGAAGGAGAGAGGGAAGAATTTATTGCTCAAAACAAGAGAAACATCCAGTTCTATTTATTTTATTGAACCCTCAGGAAGCAGAAAAGCAGGAAGGGGCAAAGGACATATTTTCTCTCTACACTAGCAATATTTACAAGGAGGCCATGATAGTCTTAATGGTGAGCAGACGTCCCCTGATGATCTGAAGAAACACAGGTGGATAGTGGTCACCTGAGAGATGACCTCACGTTCTTAAATGGGAAGGAAAGCAGCTGTGTTGGCCTCCTCTGGTCAGTGTTCTGAGCTTCAGCACCTCCAGTGTTTGGACAACATCCAGCACCCAGTATCCAAGGTCTTTCCAGCCTCACGTATGAGCTCTTATCCTTCACACTGTAATAAGCTCTAAGCATCCTCCCCTTCACAGCGGTCTCTGTAAAAACCCTTTTAATTACAGCAGACGAATCACCCAGGGGAGACTTCAACATGCTACAAAAGTCTCCTTCATTCTTGGGGATGTGAGTTCGTCTGGACAGGAAGGGGACTCTCTCGGGAAATGACAATATTTTATTTTGTTTCAGTGTACAGACAAGTTTTCATACAGCACAGGCTGGTCTTGATCTATGCCAGCCTGGGAATGACCTTGAACTTCTGACCCTGCTGTGTGGAGATTACTGGCATGTGCCACCATGCCTCACTTATGTGCTGGAGGATAAAATCCAGGGCTTCATGCACACTAGGCACTCTCTCTTACTGACTGAGCTACACCCCCAAGACCCTCAGTAAATGATAATTTAAAACAAACAAAACCTCCCCAGCATTAGAAACCTAGGACGGGATCGAGGAATGGAAAGCCCATGAGCTGCAAAGCCCTCATGCAAGACACTTCAGATGACATTTTCCAATGCATCAGGAGCCATTATTTCTTTTAGGACAACGGTCTTCAAGGGTGGTCAGTACACACAGGTGTCCTGGGATGAATACATGACCTCTGCTGGCTCCTCAAATGACCCATTTGCAAACTCCCTCCTTTGCCCAGATACGGAAGTACAACTACCATGTCCGCCATAGAAGAAGACATCCTAATTATAAGAATGAATTCTATGTGCTCAGCCTGGTGAGGACCACCCACCTGTAAGAGAAGGGTACAGACATTCCCTTTGATAGCATAAAAATCAAACCCGCTGTGGGGTGAGGACAAGGAGATGGGTGGGGTACACCGCCACCAGGATACATGTGACGCTGAATCTGCCTCGGGGAACAACTTTGCTAACCCTAACAACACCATTCAAGGTTTGAGAAATATCTATGTGCTCAGTTGTGCCTCTTGACCTTAGTTCACAGTAACAGCTGGACGTCATACAAGCCCCGGCTGGCCCTCCTTCTGCAGAACTCTCACCTAGTCTGGCTGAGCCTGTTTCCTGATCTATATATTTGTTCTGTGCCAGCAAACTGTCTTTGCTTTTCTTCATTTTAACCTGCTTTATGATTATTTCACTACCCCCTCCCCTACTCCGCAAATCATGTAATTCCGCTCCTTACTGCTTAAAGCGGTCACCAGAACTAGAGGGAAGGAAGGACCCAACGCTCTTGAAAACATTCAGCCAATGGCTTTTTGTATTTCTAGTATCCTACAGGTAGGAGAGCTGGGCAGACAACCAGGTTGGTCATGTGACAGAAGAGTCTCTCGCGCTCTCTCTCTAGTCCAGGTGTCCAGGATTGCCCTAATCCACTTTTCCAAAACTACCTTACCAAGAAGCATAGGCCTCGAAGCTAAAGGATCAAAAGTCCAGGGAATTCTGCCAGCAAACCGCAGTTGTCTTGATAGTGCAAAGGGGAGGGATCAAAATCAAAGCGCTCTGCTCCACTCTAGAGTAAACTAGCATATTGTAAAACTAAAATTCTCCTCCCGGAAGGCCTCCCCCACTGCCATTTTTGAACTTACAAACTATGATTTCAACTTGAACATGCTCACAAATGTGCCCCGTGTTAACAGTTGGTGACAGCTCTTTCCCACGTGTGTGCGTGTTTCCCAGATGCAGCAAACCCTTGCTTTCTTGGTTTGGGGAGAACGCAGCTTGCAGCGTAGAACCCCTCTCACGAATTTCTCCATGCTTTGGCTCAAAAAGTTTACACTCACCAAGGGGCGCCCGGATTAGGGCTCACACTTCCAAGCCGGAACAGGCAAGACCCCGCCTCCCTCGTCCCGGCCCGTCTCGTACCTGTCGCGCACTTTGCCGCAGCGCAGCCCCATGGCCGTGCACTCGGTCTCGCACACCGACACCCCCTTGCAGGACTTGATCGGGTAGATCCAGACCTTCGACACAGTCCCCACCTGCTGCAGCCGCCGGCGCCGCCGGGGACGCACGCGACGCCAGGCCACGGTCCCCAGCGCCACCGCGGCCAGTCCTAGCGCGGCGACGCCGAGCCAGGTGGACCGCGGCTGCCCGGGGAGGCCGAGGCGAGCCAGAGCCGAGGAGCTGGAGGCACCCATGTTAAACTACCCGGTGCAGGCCTGGGTTCCCCGGCCGCGAGGGCGAGGCGGGGCTTAAGGCTCCGGGTGGGTGGGAGGAGCCAGAGTTGGCGCAGCCGCACCGCCTGTCAACCCCCTGCAGCTGAAGTCGCGACCCGTGGCCGAGCCAGGTCCTAGCCCATCGCGGGTGGCAGCCTTGCCTTGGGGTGGTCACTCTTATTTTACTTTGCCTTTGTTTCCCCCTCTTCACCGCACCCCACTCCCCCCCCCCGCCCCCTTGCCAAGTGACTCTGCAGCCCTCTACAGTCGTTTACCCTTTTGCTTCTAAAAGGAGCGCACTCCGTTGCACCGGAAGTTGCACTGAAAGGACGAATGGAAGATTTCGTGGGAGCAACTTTGGGCAGGTCTCTCTAGAAGATCACGGAACTCTCTTGAACGCTCGACCTAAGCCTGGGCAGGTGGAGAGACGAGTTGACTGGGGTGGCTTCTAGCAACGTGACCCAGGGTGACAGGCACATAGGCCAATTCAGATGCGTCCTGAGGAAACCCGAATGGAGGACCTGTCTAAGAACGTTCTTAGACAACTTTCTAAACAGGATTTAAAAATCAGGCTGCAGTGCAGGGGGGTAGCTCTAAGTTCAAGACCATCGTGGACTATGATAGCCAGACCCTGACTCAGAAACGTCAATGATTAACTCATCCGTGGAAAGGAGCTCTACAGGTCAAGGTGCCAACACTGATGACATGAGTTCAGTCCCTGGGACCCCCGTGGTGGGGGGAGGTGGGGGACCAAGTCTTATACACACACGCACGCACGCACACAGTGGGGATAAATACAATAATAATAATAATAATAATAATAATAATAATAATAATAATAGGGTCTGGAGAAAGGGTTCAGCGGTTAAGAGCACTGGCTGCTCTTGCAGAGGACCCAGGTTGGGCTCTCTTCACTTACACAGAGGCTCACAACTGTCTACAAATTCCAGTTCCAGAGGATCCAACACCTGCTTCTGGCCGCTGTAAATATCCAGAACACTGGTGATGCTCAGGCATACGTGCAGGCAAAACACCCATACACTTGAAATAAAAATAAAAAATTAAAAATCTAAGGACGTAGAATTTTGAAGTATTCTTCTGTTGCTTGGACTGTCACCAGAAACAATGAGCCTTAAATCTCTTGACAGGAGTGTGGGTTGCAGAATTATAATGACCCATAGGTCACCTCCATACTCTAGAGCAGTGGTTCTCAACCTTCCCAAGGCTGCGATCCTTTAATTCAGTTCTTCATGCTGTGGTGACCCCCAACCACAAAACTATTTTGTTGCTAACTCATAACTGTAATTTGCTGTTATGAATCATAATGTAAATATCTGATATGCAGTATATCTGATATGTAAAGGATCGTTTAATCCCCGAAGGGGTCACAATCCACAGGTTGACAACCACTGCTCTATGGGACAGTGGCTGGAATTAGTGGATTTCGTGTGGGGGTGGGGAAGGTCATTCCAGCTGCTTCTTTGCCGATTTGCTCTTTTCATATGCTAGTTTTGTGAGGTTTTCCTGGCCTCACTCTCTGCCCTACTCTCCAGCATCCTGTGGCCCAGTCCTGAGGCAGGTCAGAGCCCTCCTGACCCACAAGCTTCTGTCAGAGCTCCATGCCTATAAAGTCATGACCCATACTAGAAGTGGGTCTCCTGGCAGGCTAAATGTCTCTTTATTTCAAACAAACAAACAAACAAATGAAGATGGGTCTCACTGTAGCCTTGGCTGACCCAGAACTCAAAAGGTAGACCAGGCTGATCTCAAGTTCACAGAGACCTGCCTGACTCTGCCTAAAATGATTCTGGTGACAAAAGAAACACACCGGGGAGCCGGGCGGTGGTGGCGCACGCCTTTAATCCCAGCACTCGGGAGGCAGAGCCAGGCGGATCTCTGTGAGTTCGAGGCCAGCCTGGTCTCCAAAGCGAGTTCCAGGAAAGGCGCAAAGCTACACAGAGAAACCCTGTCTCGAAAAACCAAAAAAAAAAAAGAAACACACTGGGTTTTACAATTTAACCATTTGACACGTGAGGCAGGAGCTGAAGTTAGAAAGCCATCAGTTACCTTTTGGGGGAGGAAGCTGGGCAGAACCCGAGGAGACTGAATTCACCTCACTGCAGAGTCTGCCTTTGAACCTTTCAGAGTGGAAAGTCTAACTTTACAGTGTCAACAGTGGATTGGCCCTAAAGACACTAACCTTTGCTAACAGGGCTTCCTTCCATGCCTTGTCCATTCTCAGAGAAAATCAGCTATGTGTCCTAGGGCCAGGAAGCTCTATGGTCACTTGTGCCTCCTTCTGCAAGGAGGGGAGCACATTGCTACTGTGTGAGACTTGGGTTTGCAGTGAGGACAGCCGGGAGGTGGTAAAGAGTTCTCAGCTGGGGAGCGATCTTCCTTCCGGCCCTGCTGCATGATGAAGGATGCTGCACTTGAGGCTGTGACAGTGATGGGGTCCTGTGTCATTGCTGTGACGATGATAAAATACCTGAAGTAAGGTAACTTAGAGCACAAGAGAATAATTTTAGATCACAGTTCCAAGTTACAGTCTCTTAGTCAGGGTTACCATTGCTATGATGAAACACCATGACCAAAGCAAGGTGGGGAGGAAAGGGTGTATTTGACTTATACTTTCTCATTGTGGTCCACAATGGAAGGAAGCAGGACAGGAACCCAAACAGGGCAGGAACCTGGAGCTGATGCTGAGACCACAGAGGGGTGCTGCTTACTGACTTGTTCATGGCTGGCTGAGTAAATTGGCCTGATGGTACAGCACACTTCCAACAGGATAGAATTTCATAAATCTTCCCAAATGTTTGTTTCTGCTGTTTTTTGCAGGCATATAAGGCAAATGGTCTTTTTGTAGTCTCTATTCAATTAAGAATTAAAACTGGCTTTGGAACTGGAATGTGACTCTCTCCTTCTTTATACCCAAGCATGCTTGTTAAAGAAAAATCCAAAATCTCTGTCTCATGTCAGAAGAGCCACCTGATATGGGACAGAAGAAAAAACAAAATTAAGGGACTATTCTATTCCTACAAATCTCATAATCCTTTGGTTTTATTTTGACTCTTTAAAATTTTTCTTAAGGTATAAATATTATCTCAAGATTTATAAGATCATTATACATATGTAAACTTTATGTCATGATATTAATGTTCGTATAGAATACTAATTCTACCGGGTGGCGGCGGCAGGGGCACATGCCTTTAATCCCAGCACTCGGGAGGCAGAGGCAGGCGGATCTCTGTGAGTTCGAGGCCAGCCTGGTCTAGCGAGATCCAGGAAAGGCGCCAAGCTACACAGAGAAACCCTGTCTCGAAAAACCAAAAAAAAAAAAAAAAACACAAACCAGAATTCTAATTCTAAAATTAGGCTGCATCTAGCTTCCTGTTTATGATTTTGGGCTTGAATCTGAAGCAGGTAACTAGGAACTAAGTTTGTGTACCCAAGATGTATTTAACAGATTGTGGTCCTTTAATGTCTCAGAGATCTGCTGCATATGACATTTAAATTGTTTAAGTTTTCTGCAGTGAACTGTGACCATTCCTAACAGCAACCTTGGAGGTTTCCAAGATGATGATGGGGTCCTGCAACAATTAATTCACCTGGATTGTGGAAATACCACTAAGGTGACAAACACCACCCAGAGATTAGCTTTGGACTACAAATTGCTCAGGACAACTTCAAAGTGGTTAGCTAAGATGGTCCAGCCTTAGAGACTATTCCAGTCAGGACTTCAGACAAGCCCTGCACTTTCCCATCACATCAAGACTGGACAACAGCTAGCTCTCCCAGGACTTGACCATTACCCCAATTTTCTCAGGGTCCCTTAAAAATGCAGTTGTCCCCAGACAACAGGAAGTAATTTTAAGAACATGACGCTCACATTCCCAAGAGGTGGGATGGGTGGTTTTTGGCCATTCAATGGATTATGGATGTTTATCATCATTTAGGGGGGTTGGTTGCAAGTTGTTATTGGTCATGATCAGGGAGGAAACTAAGCAAAGGAGATTAGATTCAGGGATCTTGTTCTGAAAAGAAAAAAGGAGGGATATAGGAATGGTAGGAAAAAAAGGGTAGATTAGTGAATTTACTTTTTAACTAAAAAAAGCAACAACTAATCTCAAATATTTTATGTTGGTATGGATTTTCACATATTGATACAAATTTAAGGTTATTTTGTTATACTATATATATATGTTTCTACTTTTGTTTAAGGTATTGTACCTATGCAGCTCATTTAATGATGTAATGTAAAGTTCTAGTCCTTGAAAATTATTATTACAAACTATTTAGGATAATTAAGAAATACAGGTTAATAGTTAGTCATCTAGAACAATCAAAGTTGAGGCCATGTTAGGTATGTTTTCAAGGTCAAACAGAGATACATTTTAGATAGATAGGTGGTCTTCAAACACTTCAGAGACCTATAGAATATGGCATTTAAAATGTTTTAATAACATAAGACTTTTCATGACAGCAAGACATGTCTGTTCCTGGCAGCACCAATTAACTTCAAAAAAGGCTGATGGGCATCAAAGAACCTCCAGATGGAGTTTGCTTTCATTGTGGTGAAGTTAGCCACTGGGCAAGAAACTGCCCTTGCCTCAACTGCTGGCAGTATGCTGTCCAAACTGGACAAGCAGGGTGCAGAAAGCAATTGCTGAACTTTACCAAGACAAGGTAGGACAGTCTCTCAAAGTTCCTCCCTCACAAAAAAAGATTCTGTCAGATATTCAAGGCCTGTAAGCTGAAGGTGGATGCCACAGCATTGCAGAGGAACTTTGAGTGACTATCTAGGCAGTCAGTTGCTTCTCTCATTTCTATAGTTTTGGAAGATGATTACTCTACACTCCCTATTTACTCAGGCAATATTATATCCTTCTCATGTCTCTGATGGAGCTAAAGACAAGATAGTTATAGTTACAGCTTTCCTTGTTATCAAATTCAGAAAAGAAACTCACAAAAGAGGTGTAAAGTGTATAAGATTGAGTGACATAAAGCTTAAATTGTTTATCTAAGAAAATGTTTTGAGGTCTGAAAAGATAGTGTTTGATTGGTAATACAAATTAGGATAGAAAGTGAATTAGGTACAAAACTTTGGACTCATCAAGATAGATAATAGA